TTGTGGAATTTCAGTACCAGACCAAAGCTGAACACGCATCAATTTGGCGAACTTAAGTAAGGTTCCAATTTTCTATTGTATTTGTAACAATTAACTTATATATATTAATATTACTATTGATCTTTAATAACTTTGTTGATACTTTTACGTTTATACATAGTCTGGTCCACCACTACTCCTTTGGAGCGATGTATCCACAGTTGATCAAATGCTCCTGTATAAAACTATTAATTATTTTACATTCTCCTTTTAAAAGTCATTCCAGATAGTGTTCTGAGATGCGTTTGGAAAGTGGTCGCTCTGTGCGGCCAATGTGACCTGCTCCACACGAGCAACTAAATTCGCAGATACACACTCATGTGGCCCAAAGCGGAAGTATATCCTTTACACATCCATGAATTTTAGGCCGGATTGAAAAAACAACTCGGAGGTTAGCTACGTGGAACGTTCTATTCGACGATTTCGAAATCCGTTTATTTAGGATTTCAGAGGTGGTATCTTCTTTAAATTCCATATTGATAAAAAGGGTTTGCATTTGTACTGCCGGTGTACTTGTGAATAATGAAATGTTTAAAACCGACCGAGACTCAAGCGTTTTTTCCGGAATCGCCAGGGAAATAGGCTTTCAGTTACTCCAGTACAATATTGTCGACTATGTAGTGACCTACTTTTATCACGAGAACGCGATTGGTGTGATGGAAGCAATTATTATTATAACTAATTGTACAATGGATTGTTTTGCCGTACCTGTTTGTTTAACTGTGCCAAAATACATACATTCCTTCGTGGATTGTGACCTTGCACAAATTCGGTTACTCTCAGTAACCCCATTTGTAACCTGACACGATCTCGGTATTCTTTCGATACCACAAGATCGCCAACAGATACATCTCAACTACAGACATCAACTACCTTCTGATATTTGGCCTACAGGGGTTCTTGTCGGTTAACTGGCACGTGGTCTTCAGGTAGTGGTGATCATAGTCAACCGCGACTCGACGCCACACTACAACTATTCAGCCACAAGCATTATCTCTTGGTCCTAAATTTTGCAGTACGTGTTATGTCGGCCAGATAGATGTGCAGGGATTATTCTTTTGGATCGTCTTGACCATGTTACCAAACTATCTTCGATATTATCCTGTCAACTTCTTCAAAAACCTGTTCAAAAAGGCGACGAATGTAAGGAAATGAGCCACAGTGTTAACATCATATACTCCTACCTTGGTCATAAGCCAGGTTCCGAACCTTTCCATCTAATCATCAAAAGCATCAAGGTCTGGATGTATGTACAACTATTTTATCACAAGATCCACCGGGACGCCAATGTGATAATTTGGAGTATTTGAATAATAGCACAAACTGAGAATCCCAGAAATAACGCCATTTAACAGAAGAGCATATCGTAATTAAATCCTCAAAATAAATATTCTTGTAAGTCCTCGACATTTGATGCTAACCGCACTAGTTTTACTGAACACGCCTGGGTGACGGCGTTCGGTCATGCATGCACACCAGATTACGAGTGGATACGCCGTGCTACACATCTCCCACAACCGTTGGCCAGCTTAGATCAAAAACTTCTCGATATTATCAGAATGGGTTTCGTGGAGTTTTAGAAATTTCACAAGTTGAAATCATGAGTCAGTTGAAGCTAGACCACCATTGAAAACCTGGAAGCACTGGACGGCCGTTTCGTCCTGGTATGGGACTCCTCAGCAGTGCGCATCCACGATCCCGCACCACGCGGAACTCGAACCCAGGACCTACTGGCTTCGCGCGCGAGCACTTAACCGTTACCAGTTGAGCTCAACCGGTCTGTTGTGAGATAACAACTCACTGAAGACAATGGTGTACGGTGGCGCAACTTCGTGGATTGATTGAAGTTAGACATTAACACCGTTGGATACCGGCTCAGTGGTCTAGTGGTTAAGTGCTCGCGCGCGAAGCCAGTAGGTCCTGGGTTCGAGCCCCGCGTGGTGCGGGATCGTGGATGCGCACTGCTGAGGAGTCCCATACCAGGACGAAACGGCCGTCCAGTGCTTCCAGGTTTTCAATGGTGGTCTAGCTTCAACTGACTCATGATTTCAACTTGTGAAACTTCTCGATATATCGACAGCCTCTCAAATATAGCTTCAAACCCCTTCACTTCTGACTTCTGATTCAACTAGATTGGCATACCTCGATTATAAAAAGTGTCGCTGGTAAAGGTGTTGTTAATCTCCGAATAATTGTGGCACTTTTATCCCAACTGTATAAAAATGTTATGATGGTCCATCAGAAACACTTGAAAAATATATAAATACACGACTCAGAACTTTTACTTCTTGTTAAAGTTTTGAATCTTATGATTATTTGTTTGGTGGTGAAACATCTAAAAGCGCAGTTCTTAGATCATCTGTCTATCACAGCCCCAGCATTGTTAGAAAAATATATACTTTGATAGTATCTACTCATATAGTTCTATACATTAACTGCAGTACTAACTAACCTAGTCGACGAAGCAGAAATTCCGAAAACAATATCTAACATATACCAGCTATGGGACCTGTTCATGTGACTGGTGAAACTGATCTTCAGTTGATGAGTAACCTCAGACTAAGTAATGTGTGCTACATCTACGGTCGCTGTCATCTCTAAAGGACATTATTTCAAAGTCACCCACGATGCTCTTTAACATGACCCTTCTTTATACTCAGCTATCTAAGGATTGTAAAGATGGTATAGTTAGTCCTACATTTGTATCTAACTACAGACCTGTCAGTCTAACTAGCATAGTATTTAAGTCATCTAAACAGATAATACGGGCTAAGTTACAAAGTCACATAAAATCATACATTCTATTGGCTCCTGAGCAACACAGGTTTCTAAACAAGCATTCATGCATGACCAACTTAGTTATTGAGAGTGAGGATTGGACAGGAGCCCTAGATCACGGTCTGTCTGTCGACGTGATATTCATAGATTTTAGCAAAGCGTTTGACAAGGTTTCACACGTAGGTCTTATGCAGAAGCTCACGAGCTTCGGAATAATAGGTACTGTACATGAGTGGATAGGAAATTTCTTATGTGACCGCAGACAGAGAGTTAGGGTCAATGGAACGCTATCCGATTGGAAGCCGGTCAAAAGTGGTGTACCCCAAGGCACCATCTTAGGCCCTCTGCTCTTCCTTCTCTACGTTAATGAGTTACCGCTGTTACTTAGGTCGTCGACATTATTGTTTGCAGATGATGTAAAAATCTGGAGAACAATAAAAAGTGCGGCTGATCGTCTTCAAGCTGACTTAGACGATTTAGTTAGATGGGCTCGAGAGTGGGGCTTAGAAATCAATGCTAGGAAGAGTGTACTAATGCACGTCGGTCACGGTAATAGTTACCGTTACACTATTGAGGGTAAACCTCTTCCATGCGTTCAAGAGCATAAGGACTTAGGAGTAATATTAAGTCATGACTTAAAAACAACTGCGCATTGCAAAGCAGCCGCTGTCAAAGGTTTTCGTGCGTTATGGTCACTTCGCCGAGCGTTCAAATCTTTTGACGAGGAAACGTTTCGAATTTTATATCCCATATATGTTAGACCACATTTAGAGTACTGTATCCAAGCAGCTAGCCCGTGTCTAGTAAAGGATACTAACTCCCTTGAGCGTGTCCAGCGTGTGGGAACGAAATTAGTGAAGGGTCTTTCTAGACTCCCTTACGATGAGCGCTTAAAACGCCTAAATCTTTTCCCCTTGTCGTATCGTAGGACACGAGGTGACCTTATACTGGCATTTCGTATCTTTAATTATGATTTGGGTGTTAATATGTCTTATCTTTTTGCTCCCTCCAGCACTAATAATCTCCGAGGTCATAGCAAGAAGGTTCATAAACCACGATCTAATAAACTTAAAGTGGGATCCCGTTTTTCTCATCGAGTAGTCAATCATTGGAACGCCTTACCCGAACAAGTGGTATCAGCCCCATCAGTGAATACTTTCAAGGAAAAGCTGGACCTTCACTGGAAAGCAATGTGTCAGGATTAACACAGGTTCATCAACCTACTATCCTTATTACTGAAGACTGACTGATCATTATGATCTGCAAACTGACCTACATGAAGTGGTTAGGTGGGCCCGAGGTTGTACTTAGGACTTAAATCCAGGAAGGGTGTGTTCATGCACATCGGAAACGGTAACAATTACCAGTTTACTGTCGATAGTACATTTCCTCCATGCGTACAGTAACGTAAGTAACAACTTGAAAACAACCATGCACTGCAACGCAGCATCTTGCAAAAATTTTCATGCTTTATGGTCACTTGGCCAAGCATTCAAATGCTTTTAGATGTTTCTAATTTCATATCCCGACTGCGTAAGACCACACTTAGAGTACTGTATCCAAGCAGCTAGTCCAAGTCTGATTGAGGACACTTACTCACGTTAGCGTGTTCAATGTGAAAAATAAAATTATTGAAGGGTCCTACAGAACTCCCTTATAACGAGAGTTTGAAAAGCCTAGACTTTTACCCTTAGAGCGTCGAAAAACGCGGTGACATTTTGACGTGCCTTACCTTTAATTACGATTCGAGTGTTAATATCTTACATCATTTTGCTTCTTACGGAATAAACAATCTTCGGAGTCGTAACAGGAAGGTTCAACAACCTGCTATCTTTATTACTGAAGACTGGCATCAGATGATTTATAATTACTGCTAAATACGAAAGTCTAGTTCATAAGCTTAGGATGTAACGATGCTTTTCGCGAATGCTCTACAAAAATAAATTAGACATAAAATCAAGTGTAAAACTAATTGCAAATACTGCTCATTAGTATCATTTATGTCATGTATTTGGCATGTTGATGAGTAACACCTTTACACTAAATTCTAACTATATTGAGATATTCCCATAACGTTGTTTGAATGAGTACTTTCAGTGACTCACGAAGGTCATACTTTTGGGAAAATTTTCCAATACTGTGTCGAGGGTGTTACATATTAGCAAATCGCTTACTGAAAAGTTTGAAAAAATCAGACTGCTAGGGGTGAGACCATAGTTTATGGACGACTTTTGAGTGACGTCAAAATGACCTTGAGGATGTCTACCTAATTATAAGGTCTAAAGGAGGGTTATAACACAGGTTTATATATAAACCTATGTGAAGTATACGAACTATGATTAACGGATGTTGGGAATCAGATTTGGGGTCTTAATCACGGGCTGACACCAGCTAAAATGACGAAGCGTTGTTTAGCTGAATAGGTAAAAGTATTTCGCGTCAAAACCCAAAACTTGTCGTGAATGTGATTGGTTCGTCTATGAATTGTAGTCCTGCGTAATGAACCCTCATTCGTCACGAACTTAAATCAGTTGAAATTGAAAGATGAATATCAGTTTGGTTCGTCCCTATACTCTACTTCTCAATGTTCTTGCTCGTCCTATTTTAGTAGTTGGTTAGGTGTTAATAGTATTCACTGTAATCTTTTATCCATCATTTTCTTTAGTTTTATTTTAAATACTTTCATGCTGTGTGAATACATGTCATGCGTTATATCTTGGGCTGTCTTCCGCAATTAATGTTACACGATTAATCTTTCTGAGGCGAAGGTTTTACGAAGCGTGCGATCTCCGAATGTATTTTTAATGGCCATATATCCACCAATGTCTTTTTCTATGTCAGCTCTATTCTCAGTTTAATTGCGATCCCAAGTTTTTTTGTCTCAGATATCAAGCCAGTATTATATTTAGATTCATATTTGTGTAGTAGAGGCAGACAGCCTGTTATTCCTTTTCTAGTATGCTTCTGTGAGTGTCTAGTCTTCTCTTGAATGAGTCAATTGAAGGTGCGGACACAGGTCCCAAGAATTGATGACTTGGTGTGAAAACCTGTCTGCCACGGGTATTTTGTTCGTTCTTGGCTTTTCTACTTGCCTGCTATGTCCTCTGAGATGTCCCGATCTAATGGGAAGAAAAAGAGAGGATGTATTAAGTCAGAAATCATTTCTTAGTATTCTGTACATCGAAATCAGACCACCTCTTAATCTGCGATAGGACAGGGTAAAGAGATCTAGCTTTTCTAGTCCCTCTTTGCATGGTAAACCCCAGAGTTCTGAAATTGCACGGGTAGTTGCCCTCTGTACTTTTTCCAGGATATCTGAGTCACCTTTTAAACAGGGGCTTGCAGCCTGAACATAGGCTTCAAGCTTAGTTCTCACTAAGGTTGTATATACTGTAGTGAACATAGTAGTATCTACTCGACTGTAGCTGCTACTTTGACGCGGTGGTCGGGCTTGCCTATCGTGATGACCCAACCGAGCTATTATGGCTGGAACATATGTTCCTGTAGGTTCTACCATGCCAGACAGGTCGATTGGAGAACGGTAAGACTAAAAGCAGCAACTCAAGGTCTGAGGACAAATTCGTACTGCTGACTGTAGAGGGGTGTGACAGCAGTAAGGTGTTTCCCTCGGAAAATCAGCATCTGCAGTGATGCTGCCTTCTCACAAGGAAGGAAGGGGTTAGAAAAGGTCGACCCTAAAAATGTATCACCTCACCTTACCTCACAGATTTTCGTCTCCGGCGGCAAGACCCTTTGAAGAACGGAGCTAACACGTCAAAAACCTTCCTCAAAAGGTCGTGCGCGGCCGGCCTCAAACAGTTGTCCCTTGGGCTCTGCGGTCACGCTCCCAGGTCGTTGAGGCCAACATTAATCCAACTTCCTTTTCAGGTTCCTCAAGAAATACCCTTCCACAGTGTGGGCAGCCGGGAGGTGACACCAGCCGTCATACCCGTAACAGCACACGAGACCAAGTTGGTCACATTCAAATCCTTCTTACACCTCCTAATACCTCTCTTATCTCCCCGACTAACCCTTTTCACGTCCTTTTATCACCTCGTACCGCTAGCGCAAACGATTCGTGTACGCGGAACGTTATTCCTGGTCTCCTGAAACCACGCTCTAAACTTCATGTTGGAGCTTATAACGTCCGAACACTGTGCCAAATAGGACAACAAGCTTCCTTAGCTGGATTATTTAGAATCTCGTGCCATAGATGTGTGCTGCGTCTTCGAAACGCACATACATGATCCAAGTAGCGTCATTCATTTGACCTCAACATATCAAAATAAAGAACCAACTCGATTCACACTTTGTGTATCTGGGAGCCCTGATGCTGCTTCTCGTGGCCTCGCCGGCGTAGGTATAGCATCAAGTCTTAGGGCAAAACTACCTCTCTTAGACTGGATCCCAGTAGACAGTCGTTTGTGCGCTGTTCGACTAAACGGAACAATAAGGACTCGGAAAGATAGGGACACTCGTCGTTGCCTCTTCGTCGTCTCTGCCTATTCTCCCACTGACTGACTGAGTATCTAACTTGGTGAATGTTCGTCTTGAAGCCCACAGGGTTCTAAACCCCTTATCTGCAACCTCCTGGCAGTGGGCCGTGGTCTTAAGATCATGACTCACTGTGACTCCAAGATCCTTGTGAGACCGGACCGCGGGTACAGACACTTCCCCTATGCTGTACCTACTTACCTTTGCATCCCCAAAATGCATGTAGATACACTTTGCCACGTTGATAGGCATCAGACTCTCTTTAGACAGCTAATCACAATATTTAAGTCTGCCTGAAATGCTCATGCATCTGTGTCTCCCGTTATTTCTCGCCAGGTTTTTACATCAGCGTATAATAACTTGAGGGATTCAACTGTACTTGGGAGATCATTTACATACAGTATAAAAAGTAAGGGGCCTAGGACTGAACCTTGAGGTACTCCACTAAGTACTTTTCTCCAGGTGGAGAACTTCGAATTAACTCTTACTTTCTGTTTACGACCTACTAAAAAATCAGTGTTCACAAACCAGTGTATATGTTCGCTGATTTTATTAGTTGTTCATGGTCACTTAGAAGTATATCCACATTTGACCTTAATAATTACATTTTCACACCATCTATGGCAAGTACTCCGACTAAATATTTAGTGTTAGTCGTGATATTTATTTTAATTGAGCTCCTAGTCTTAGCTTTCGAACTCTGAGGTATCATGAAGTTTATGAAAATTAGCTGTCACCTCTTTGACCGTATCACTTGCTGAATGTTTAGAATTATACATTAAACATTGTACACATACAGAGCCCCATATTTATGTGTCACTGATATTCCGACAAACACTGGCTTCTGCTAACATTAATGTATTTCTTGACATAATATTCTGTCTTCAGTAACAAGGATAGTGGATTGGTTAACTTGCGTTAACCCTTGTGGTGTTTGCCGGTTGAGATCCAGCTCCTCTGAGAACTCATTGATATTGCCGATACCACTGTCCAGGTATGGGGTTCCAATCGTTTAACACTCAGTAAGGGAAACAGAATCTCATCCTGAGTCTATTCGGTTGCAGCTTATGAACCTTTTTCTATTGCAACTGGGCTGTTCGTCTCTATAAGTAGCAAAATGGCAAATCTACACTCGAATCACTATTTAAAATACGAAATGCCGATATAAGATCGCCTTGCATTCTGCCACAATATAAGGAGAAAGGGTCTGAGTAGAGGTCTGTCATTAACTTAGTTCTCTGAAGTTGTATATACTAGGGTGTGTCAGTACCCTTAAAAAGACACGAATTAGCTGTTTGGATACAGTATTCTAAACGAAGTCTTACATAAGTGGATTAGGTAACCCGCAAGATGTTTCTTTATTTGAACACATGAATATTGGTACAAAGAAGAACAGAATACATACGTGCCACATAAGCCACTTGATTTGTGTGTGGGCCGTGATGCTGCTGGGTGCCCAGATCGTAGCAGGTGGATTTCAGGAGGAGCCACACCCAAAGTCTTCGACCTGAAGGTCTGATCCACAAGGGAGTGGAGCAGCGTCAGGAGATGCAGTCACATGGTAGCCGGTGATCAGCAATGGGTTCATACAACATTTGTTCCCTCAGGATCCTGGAGCTCATGTGCACCATTGGTTTGGAATCAGGGTTCTCCAACTCCCCTAGGTGGACCCTCAATATCCATGAACGCGGTTAAAGTGCCATACATTCGCTTCTCGTCCTCTCAATTTCGTAAACAAAAGCCGCGGTGCGAGGTAGTGAGTAGGACTTCTCTGGCAGTGGTTGTATGCGTGTGGCCATGTGAGAGCATTTCGAGAAGGAGAGCTAACTCTCCACCGTTGGCCGTACCAGAGCATTTGGGAGCATCTTTGTCAAAGCACTTAAAACTGGAGAGCGGCTATAACACTCGAAAACCTTCAATAGATCCTGCCTTGTAGTGTACAGCTGTTTTCAAGAAATGACTTTCAGTTATTCATGGATCTTTTCACCTAGTTCGAGCTGATTGCATCTTTTTCCACCTACTTTTCTCCTAACCATTTGCATTGCGATATTCTTTTATTTTGTCTGTTGGTACTTATCGCGGTTTCAGTGCTGATAGTTGTCATCATCATTCCAACAGCCTTAATGTCAGTTCTCTTCTGCCTAAGTTATTGCTTTAAGAAAGCTGTCACTGAATGTAATAACTGATGTAAGTATTTCAAGTGCATGTGTACCGTTTATTCCCTCATCGTTTAACGTTCCCCTCTAATGTTCGGTTTGGGCCACCCGGGCAGTATCATAGCCCACGCACAAATGAAGTGACTTGTGTGGAGCATATGTATTCGGTTCCCCTTTATACCAATATTTATGTGCTCAAATAAATAATAAATAAAATCGTTGTCTTATAAACTCGTGCTCATTATTCCAGTAGAGTATTTCTAATCCATTCCTTCTCTGTCAACTTTTAAAGTATTATAAGTGTATTTATCCTGGGATATCATGGTATCGCCGTCGAACTAAGCCGTTGGGCCGAGGTTATCTCAGTTACATCTCCATCAACCGTTATTTATTTTGCCAAGTTAATATATATACAAAAACTAAAGAGAATGTCGTTTAATTGCCTCTTTATGCCTCGACAAATTGGATACAATATGCTCTTAGTAGTTAGCTTCGTGATCAACTTAATAAATATTGCGCTTGCATCTAGGGACTTGAATGGACATATCTGGTGTTTAAGTACAAAGAGTACCATATATGTAGTTGGTAGCTTGTATGTATCTATTATTCACTCTTTTCTTTATTAATTTTAATCTTGTTCAATTGGCTTGCTGTTTTAGGAATTATCTTCAACACTTTGGATAAAATGTGGCAGTCTTATTTTCTTGACATGTCAAACCTCCTGCCTAATTTTATTAATGCGTGTTTCACGTTCAGTCCAGAATTCGGAGTTATACTCAGCTTCAACGGTTGTTGTATGTAGTGAATTTCTAAAACTTCTACTGTCGATATTTTTGATTTTATGCCAAGAAGGTAAATGCTATTTAATGAGCATATTTCTTTAAATATTTTAATTGTGCTAATTTCTACGAAATGTTTCGCTTATTGATTGTGCACGTAGCTTTATCCACTGACTTGCTCCACCTTCACGTTAATTTAGGCTCACACATTCAAGCAAATCACTTATGTGTATTTATAATATTGTTTACCTGTTTCAAGTCAGTTAATTAGTAGTACAATACTTAACAAAATTATGTGTATACTAAAACTGTGATAGGAAACGCTAAATATGTTTGTCGGTACCCAGTGTAATTGTAACCTTAGTTTTTTAAAGGTCTTTTTCAAAGCATTGACTTAACATTTAACTCCTAAATTGTGCATATTTATCAGGTGAAGCTTAGTAAGTTTTTTTCACAGATTGAATCAAATTTCGACAATATTAAGCACTTCCAGTGTACGCGGATTCAAGTAGTACAATAATTCATTAGTCATTTCATTCTCTTTAGTATCATTCCAAAAGCGCATGTGGAACTATTTTCTGCAATATTTAGTCAGATAAGCGAATCCAGATAAAACCCACATTGTGTTGTAATATCATTTGTCTCAAACTGAAGAAATTTACACAAATGATAACGAAGTCAAAGTCGTATACCTAACTTCATGAATAGTTTGTACTAATTGTTAATAAAAAGACGCAAATTCAATGAATTCATTTAATTCTCTGCTTCCTCTTCAGTTTCAAATAACCTTGGCTTCCGTCATACTTCGTAGGTTGTTCAAAACCCGAGAAAGATTGACTCGCAAGGAGCAGGCTTGTTTTCGTTCTGGTCGAGGATGTATTGATCATATCTTCACCCTTCGCCAAATGTTAGAACACCGCCATACTTATCAAAGGCCAACAATCGTAGTGTTTCTTGACATCAGGGCTGCCTTTGATTCGTTGGATAGGACTGTTCTCTGGGATTGTCTATTGAAGAAGGGTGTGCCTGAGAAGTTTATTAACATCCTAAAAGCCCTATATACAAACACCTCAGGCAGAGTGAGGGCACACAACCACCTCTCTCCATTGTTCCATTCGAGCAGTGGGGTTAGACAGGGTTTCCCAATCTCACCATTGCTCTTCAACTCTGCCATCGATGACATTCTGGAAACAGCTCTGATGGATGTAAGTAATGGCGGTGTGGATCTGCTGCCTGGAGAAAGACTTCTCGACCTTGAGTATGCGGATGATATTGTCTTACTGTGCGATAATGCCCAAGGCATGCAATCCGCACTTAATCAGTTGACAATCAATGTCCGTAGGTATGGTATGTGCTTTGCACCTTCGAAGTGCAAAGTACTTCTACAAGACTGGCAGGATTGTAATCCTGTACTCACCCTGGATGGTGAGCAGATAGAAGTAGTCGAGAAGTTCGTGTATATAGGTAGCTGCATAAATGCTGGTGGGGGTGTGAGTGATGAGATCAATGCACTTATAGTGAAAGCCAGAGCGGCTTATGCCAATCTGGGCCATCTTTGGCGCCTTCGTGATGTTAGTCTGGCCGTAAAAGGTCGGATCTACAACGCGTTGGTGAGAGCAGTTCTGCTCTATGCTTGTGAAACCTGTCCTCTCCGAGTTGAGGATGTTAGACTACTCTCTGTGTTCGATCATCGTTGTCTCGGAAGGATTGCTGACATCCAGTGGCAACACCATGTTAGTAATGCAGAGGTTCGGCATCGTGTTTCCGGGTGTCACCATCTTGAAACACCGACTTCGGTGGCTTGGACATGTTCTCCGAATGTCGTCCCAGAGAATTCCACGTCGTGCATTATTTGCCGACTCTGGGACTGGTTGGAAGAAGCAGAGAGGTGGTCAGTGTATGACATGGTGTCGTGGTATGAAAGGAATCTGCAAAGGGCTGGCTTCTGTTGGTCCATCTCAACTCCCTGGCTGGAGTTCGAGAGATGGTACAACACAGTAGATAGAGACGTTATCAGATATGGCTCAGAATAGAAGCCAGTGACGATCCTGCTGTAACCTTCTTTTACTTTCTTCATTAAAAAATGGTTGTATCTTCCTTAACTGAAGGGTTTCTTCTGATTGTACCTTTCCGTTCCCCCATTATTACCACTATTATTATTACACTACCTTACACCAATCTCTTTCTTATTGTTCTTTTTTTTACCCTCCTTACCTTTTTTTTCTTTTTCCTTCTCTATAAATTCTCATTGTTTTGTGTGGCGCATATATATTTGGGGCACTTTTGTACCAATGTGTATGTGTTCAAATAAATAAATTCAAATAACCTAAAATTATGGTAAATCATTATATCTAGTAATATATGTTTCCATGTCTATTACTTACAATACATCCTAGTCTTAATTTATTTACTGCTGAAGGAAATTTGTGGAGTAAGATATATTCATCGGGCTCTCTAAGCCTGTTTTTTTTTTATAATGAAACTCTAAAACGAGAGGTCGTGAAGTACAAAAGCCGTTTCTTGTTATTTATAAAATAGGTAATGATTATTTTGTTTTAGAATCACTAATATATTGGTAGACAAAAACATCTAACTATGTAGACGTTCTTGAATATTGAGTGCCACCTAGATACTACTTTCAGGTTTGTGTACCCAGGCCATGAATTCATATATGGGCTATATACATGTCCAAGACTCGATAATTAAAGTTCATTTCCAACTTAAAGTATAGAAATAAATTCCCTGAACTCACCAAACCACAGCTTGACCTTTTCAAAAATGTCATCGGAATAAATTTGCATGTTTATTCTCTGACTACATTTTCTGAATTCATTATCAAACTCTTGACTGTTTCTTTTTTCTTTATACTTCAGGTGAAATTAAACGTAGTATTTCATCAATATATAATGAAATAATTGTTCAGTATAATGATATGATTCAAATTTTAATTCCCTCAACTCTTTATATTGTACAGAATAATTTACTATATTTTGCCATTTCACATTTGAATGCTGTTTTATATCAGATACTTTATCAGAGTAAAATATTCACTACTGCTATATTTATGATACTATTATTAAATCAGCGCCTACGTTTAACTCAATGGTTTGCTCTCTTATTACTCAGTACAGGTATTATCTTAACACAGGTAAGGTTTCATAATAAATACCGTATACTCTGCTATTTTCTGCAGTGCTGCTTGCTCTCCAAGTAGTATAATTAGCCTCATTCTGTTGAAAGCTTTTCTCTTTTGTGGTTAAGTGTTCTGTGATGGTTGTAATAGGCCTGACATTGAAGCATGAAACACACCCTATCGCCTGAAATGTTTAATTTCTGTACGTTCGTTATTTTTTTTCTAAGTTACTCCATGTTTCAACTTAGGTTGACGCACATTTATCTCAGGTTTTATGTTGATTATAGAGTGAATATTCCAAGTTTATCACTCTTTTGGAGACTACAGATGCTTGAATTTATGGGTCACTCAGGACCTGATGCAAATGTGCTCTGCTTAAACCTACAGTCATAATCAAGAATAAAACTGGTCTACAGGCATTTCATATTGATGAAAAATTGTACTGTATAAACCTTGTAATGGTTTTGATGTTTCTTAAGATTCTGGGAATATTGATGAATAGTATAAAAAATAACTACTGCATGCTTATTGCTTCTAATCCACTTCACAAATGAAGTCCAAAATTTTGAATGCAATCTAACTAAACACAAATTTAGAGCAATCAAATTAGCATTACAACAGTTTAAAATGGTTCATTCTAATTGTATTGACAAACCTCACTATACTATACATAATCAAAACTGACACAAGATCAGGTTTAAAACGCTTTTCAAATCTACATCATATGTTGTCGTCCAAATAAGTGTGTAGTAGGGTATTTTTATTCGTTGGGTAATGACCTTTGCTAGTCTCAGGTGTAAAGCCAACATTTTTACGGTTGTACTCGTGTTAGTCGACTGAACGTTATACAGAAGTGTAATCACTACAGTTTTTGCAAAAAGTAACGTTTTAATCTACATCGAAGCTCAAATACAAAAATCGTATCATAAATTCAGTCATTGTTTCTATGCTTGCACGTTTTGTTATTCTTGTTCATCTAAATTTTAGGCCGAAACATACATGGTAATCTCCAATTTTTTGTCTTTTATAATCAGATTCTCCTATACATAAAATACTATGTTAGTATTTGTAGCCTCATTGGAAGTAATCCTATTTAATAACCAACTCTTGATACTGAAATCTAACCATTCTGATCAAATTATTACTTGTTTTTAAAGCATTTGTATAATAAAAATATTTTTCCCGATTCTGAAAGTCGTAAAGATGTAACGTCCCCATGTGGTAAAAAAATTTGTAAATAATGACTTGATCCACTTGCCAGGCACATAATTATGTGCGACGGTTAGTAATAATACATCTCTTCCCAAATCTTATGACCTAGTGGTTGAAAACCTACTGTTTGAACCATTAAGCCTATTACATACATAATCTTAGCATTATAACTATTTGAAACATTTTAACATTATTTATTGTGAATTATTCTTTTTCTTGATATAACTCTTAGCTGCCTTCATTAAATCAATCAACATCGAGCAGTGAATTCCATTCAAATTTGTATGGGTTGTTGGCAATTTTATTGGCTTCTGTTACTAGCGGCTTTGCTGGTGTTTACCTTGAGAAAATATTTAAAGGAACGTCAACTTCGATCTGGATGCGAAATCTACAGTTAGGTGAGACAGAAAACATTGGTTAATATGAATCATATTAAATATATAACATTGGCTACTAACCTGGTCCTTTATAACTTGCGAATTTTTTGGTCAAATCGATTAAGGGCACAGCAAGACAAAGGGTACTAAAAGGATTCGAGTACATATATACATGAGGAAGAGAATGATTCATCGAACGCTATTTAAGATATTAACATTTAAGCTAGAGAGATATGTGCGTAGGCTGCCATGTGATCAAGCGTACACGTCTATACAGATAAGACAATAATCATAATAAAACAAATAAATAGACGAACCATTGCTGTTAGAAAAACATTGTCTGTCAAGTTAATAAAAGGGTTCAACAAAAATTAAACATAGTTGAAGTCGACTGTAGAAAAGTCGCTGTATGTCCTTACCACTCTTTTTAGCATCTTCAGCGTCCAAATATCCCTTATTAGCTTTTCCAAAATTTGTGAAAATCTATCTTGATGATAAGGAAAAATCCTACATCTTGCTGATACATGCGTTGCACATACTTTTGATAAGCTCTGTCGTAATAATCTTTCTTGTCCCTATATTCGACTTTCGGTAACCTTTAGCTGCTGCCTGTGAATATAAGTTAACAATTGCTTGGTGAATATATTTAATTGTCGTCAGTTCCCTCAACAACAAAAAACATGTAGTAAGGCTAAGCAATGGTCATGGTTCAATTTTGTTCGTCAATTCTAATACACTTCCCTACTACTTTTGATATGACCCGTTTTGTAATACAGACTTGTATGTAGTTAAGGCATGAATGCTGTTTGGCTTGCTGGATTAATAAATAATCTCACTATATTTCAAACTGTGCCATTCAATTAAATTGATAATGGATATATTTGTGCGTAGATCTAATCGGTCACCCTTGTGACTATGCAACACTTGGTTGTAGGTCTTACGTCTTATAGCGATGCGATTGCAACGTCCAATCACCATAATTCGGGTGACAATCATTACCCATGATTTGCGCCACTAACATAGACTTAGATACTTACTGAGATCATTAAGATGATAAGCTTACACACTGACTCTTGACAATGCATCCTTATAGATACTAATATTCACTAATGAATTTCCTTCTATATTTTAGGTCTCTTCGGCGTGCCAATCGGTCTGTTTGGAGTCTTCATTAACGATGCATCAAGAGTCAAAACTCTGGGTTTTTTTTACGGTTACACACCTATCGTTTGGATTGTAGTTATTCTTCAGGCGTTTGGAGGGCTAGCAATAGCCTTTGTCATGAGATATGCTGATAACATTTTGAAAGGTTTCTCTATGGGTCTATCAATGATTCTGTCATCTCTCATATCTTATTTCCTGTTTGATGACTTTACTCCAAACATGTAAGAAATAGCACAATATTGTTTTCTTCAACCTTCAGTACGTAGTTCAGTAAACATTACTTTTAAATGCTGTTCGTAATGTGGGAGCGCCTTAAATACAATTTGTAGGCTAAGTACATTTATATTTGTAGTTCCTCTAGTTGTCAATCAATGAATTTGTTAGTCTGTCTTTTTTATAAAACAGATTTAGCTAACCCGTCTGATGATGTCAAAACACACCATGAAGTATCCTTAGTCAGTTGTACACACACGAAAGTTTGTTTAAAATATATCCATTTACTAAGAATGTCACAGGTATCTAGAATGCATCATTAATTTGACAAGTTTTGTTTTCCAGACATTACTCACTCACTGTCTTACAGAACACTTATATAGTTGAAAAAAATCCAATGTATCATGTATTTAAAATGTGGTAGATCGAACTTCTGATTTGTTTCATGTTGCAAAACGGACACGTTATTAACAAAATCATATTAAGTGACAGTCATATATTTCACTTTATTGTTTGATCTACATTCTAGACATCCAATATTAACACCTTAATTGATTCTCTTAAACAAAACTAATATTCATAAATTCATTTTCATTTAGGTATTTATTTGTCGGATCCATATTAGTTATCAGTGCAACACTAATATACGGTCTCCCGGCAAAGTATAACGCAGTCTCTACAGTTTACCCAAACGTAAACAAAGCATAAACTTGCAGGAAATGTTACATCAACATAGTGATAATCAAATTGTAAAGTGTTTTTTTCTGGAAAAATAAAAATGACAATCTGTTATAACGCTCGGATTTCCTTTGTCTTTACGAATGGGATGCTAATTTGCCGTAGACGTATATCTCTATTAGATTTCCTCCCAGTGTTTATTCTACAGGACTTCAACACAACTCAGATCAAGAACACATGATTAGTCTGACTGAAACGTAAATATATTTACACCAAAAAACCGACAAGCCGACACAATCCAGCAACAATCGATAATAATAATAACAATAAGAGAATACATAACTTATCTAGCGCCTGTCAGACTATCTACAACCAATCATTCTCGCCCACACGTCACAATCTTATAAAATATCTACGGCGTTGTACAAGTGTTCATTGATTGAGAATGCTGAGGAACAGTAATTTCATTATCACTGGTATCATAAGTATGGAACTCCGTAGGACTTTCCTGTCTTTGGAATACTGATAATGCGGGTACAGAATACTTTTCTGCTGCCGCCAACGCTAATTCCTCTGCATCTTTTGGTGAATGACCATTATCCAGCTCAGAAAAGTACGTGACAGTAAATGCTAAACCATCATGCATGATATTATGGGTAGGGTCTAAGTCGACCAGTTCATTACCTAATTCTTCACCTAATACATCGACAGCAGGTGATGGATGAGGAAGATCATATTTTTGGTGTGATTCAACACGGCAACGAGGAGAATGTTGTGCTACGCTCAATCCGCTTAAAGAGTAACACGTGTGATACGCATCAGGGTTTTTTCCAGGTTTATCAATTAATCCACCATCAGAAGTAGATACATTGTATTCAGACGTGAGATTTTTATTTGAAGACGACAATTTTTCAGCAGAAGAATCATCTGCATGCACACTCAGACCTGGACGAGTGTAAGAAACCTTTTGGCAGCAGAGCAGTATATATTCCTAGTAAAGAATAAAATTATGAATTGATAAATTTTCATAGTTTCTGTTCTTGAAAACTATCACAACTTTTATTAGATAAATTAATATCAAATATTGAGTAAATGACTAATTAATCAAGTAATTTACAGGAGATTTAACCCATTTTGCAGGTAGTTTCTAGTAATTAGAGAAGCAGTTAGCCCTAAGACAACAATCGACACTTAAGATTCTGGTGATGAGCACTAACAATCAATCAACGAGTAGAAATAACTGCTTAGTCGCGATTCAGTAATATATATCATTATCTTAATACGTACTTGTTATGTCAAATTATGGTTAGAACGTAAGTGAAAATTTGTTAATCTATTCAATTTGAATAAATCTAACACAGGTTTAATAATTAATGGGATATGACATAAAAATTATTAACTTCTTTCATTGTAAGGATGAATTTTTCCAAGGTGACATAAGAAACTGACTTTAAAATATTCAGTAATATATCTCTTCAATAAATATTCTAAACTGATGAAAACTAATTTCAAAAGGATTAGGTCAATAGCCTGGGCAGAAAGGTATATTTCAGTGAATAAACTTGTATTGCCTGTATTAGTACTAACATATCTTGTTTCTTTTCGTTACGCTACTAAAATGATTTATTTGGTCATTGGAAAATCCAGGAATTGGCATAATGGTTCAGGACCATAACAGCAATCTAGGAAATAGCCTACTATTATATCTATCTGCTACATCCATAGGATGATTATCATTTGTCAAACCATTTTCTAAGTATAGCGATTAAGACTAAAAAAGAACGTTTTACTCATCGATAAGTTCATCATAGTGGTACTTTAAGCTGTTAAATAAATTTTCATGAATACAAACAGACTGAATGAATTATGTCAACTAGACAAACATGAAACAAATACGTCCAAGATTATACCACAGAACCACGAACACTAGAGCATGATGCTGAACTTAAAAACAAAAAGTTATCACATTTTTATTATATCGGCAAATCACAGTTACTTTCCAACTCAATAGTCGTCTCTACTTAACGTAACGACTGAATCGAGTTATGATTTCTGAAGCACTTCTTGCTTCGATTCATATCATGATAGGCAAGTCGAGTGAAAAGCGACTTTACTGAAAGCAGAGAATTCTGAGTGGTAGTGAAGCTGTCCTGCCAGGTTTAATGTGTCGTAATAGCAGTGTAATGTTTCTGACGCATAGGCGGCACTTTCAGTGTGGCTGCTTTCTTGTAGACGAAGAGAGAGGTTATAAAATATCAGCCATAAAAATGCTTTTTAGTGCCAGTGATAAGGTTTAAAAGCCATAAGGCTAATGCTACACAACCAAAAACAATAATTTGCGAGAAGGCTATTGTTTATGTTTCGTTAACATCCTTTGAAGCGAATAAGACCACAAATATCAGTTTCCAGATGTGAGCAGTCGAGAAGTGTCAGTTCTTGGCACATGTTCAGCAGCATTCATGTTCATTCTGTTTACCCTTAACCCTTTCTTCGTTTCCGTTTTATATTTTTCTTGTTACCAACCCTTTTTAATTAATACTCAACAACCACTAACAAATGCATGTTGGAGCTTTTATTGTCTGGATCTCGAGTCTTGAAAATTAGATCACATTATCCAAAATTATTTTTCCTACTTCTGAAACCCAAGTTGTAGCGGCTTAGCTTCATTAATCAATCATCTTAATAACTATTATTATATAAATCCCAAAGACAATAGAAAGCGGCGACTACAGTTTATTAGCGGATAACAAAGTTATAAGCACATCGAACGAATTCGAAGCAGAGGTGAATGTGTGTGGGCGAGAGAATACAGAGGCGAATTTATAGTCAAATCGAATCAAGGAGAAGGCTATTAATATGATTCGAGCACATGTATACATGGGGAGGAAAATGATTCATCGAACGATATTTAAGCCAGAGAGATATGTGTGTAGGCTGTCATGTAGTCAAGCGTACACATCCCTTGCACAAAGTAGGACAAGTGAGTCATGTTGATTCTGAACGTAAATCATTAGGTAGAGGTAATAAATTGGAGTTTTGACGGTTTATGCGCAAAAGTAGGTGAGATGTGTTAAGTATGACCAGAGCTACAGGTTACCTCTGCAATGTATGTTGAAATGATTGTCACGTAATAAGACTAAGGGGGTATAACCAATATATGGCACCGGTCCGGGAAGTCAATGACTGCCGCTCTGAATTGTATGAAGAGATATGGCTTTCTTAATAGGGGACCCCGAGATAATTGTAATTAATATTGGGAGACTAAATTTCAAATATTGTATTATTCCATACTTCTATATTGACTTATTTCCTTGTTTTTAACTATTCACTCGTGACAACGTAATGATATTCGTTCTTTTGACTCTTTCTAATTCCTCATTGTGTTAAGGTGTTGTAACTTGGGATGATAAACACTTGGGCTAGGAGCAATATTATTTACGTTTGTATGTATAATGTGTAACTCAGTAAATGAATACAGATCTGCGTACACGCCTTCTAATCATGCTTAAGTGTGCAAAACATATTAACACTACTGGATTGTTTACTCGAAGTAGGATTTCAAGAAGTTATTTTATGCTTGAAAGTCAGATAATTTAACCAACAATTCATTAGATATTTGTACATTTTTCAGTGACACCTCACTGTTGTGTATGGCGTTTTAAAGTATGAACAAACAAATTCCGAGACTAAAAACCTACCAAAATGTTACATGCCATATTTCAAATACAACATAAATTAACGAAACTTACTTGCAAGGCAGAAGGGTTAAACAACGTATCAATGTCATTAAGCGCAGGGTCGCCAGACAGCCACAACAGTTCCTCGACAATTGGGAAAATAGCACCTTGCCAAAAAGAGTAGCAACTGTCCACTAACTTATTTGTTCTACCCTTGGAATGAAGATCAACAAGTTATTAACGGAACGAAAACATTTTACGTTGTAGCTTAATCTGTGACTGTTTTAAAAAGTCAAGTATAAGTCGAAAGACAGCATGATTTAGTCAATTTAAATGTTATGAGTACGGTGAATCAACTGAATATAATTTAAAAATTATAAATACAACCGGTGTAACAAGGACAGATTACAATTAGACTAGTATAATAGGAAAAACAACATGAATTAACCAGTAACATCACTTTAATCTACAAGTTATAGATAGAAAATACCAAACGAAGTCTAATAAGGAATTTACTGATATGTAGACTGCAGGATCATAGACATTTCATGGCAAAAGTTGGCAATTTCGACAACCATTCCTGTTTCAATTCAACGGGACATTTTACCTTGTTAATTAATCATAAATGGTATTTCGAACATACGAGACTAACTTTTAATAACTCTGCTACATTAATTCTCTAAAAGATCGTTTCGGTACAAACTGATTACAACAAAAATATTTACATAACACAGAATTTATTAAATGGTAACTAGCAGTGAAGTTGAAGATGTGCATGTTGTCCTAATTAGGAGTTACTTGTGTTAATATTTTCATTGAAACAAGGAATAACTACTTCAGTTGAAACTTTAATTTCATAACAAAATTACCAGATAACTAAAATCTATGGAATTTTATGATGAAAATGTATTAATAAGGTCTTATAAAATCACCAATGTAATAAATTCCATTTATAAGCATAAGGAAATCAATTAAATGATAATGAAATGTACTTAAGTGTGGAGTAATTACCTGTTTGCTTATTTAATGTCATAAATGGTTTTTGAAAATAGTTCATTTGAGTATTCTTTTTTCAGTTTTGTTGTGTGGTCTAACTTTTGATAAAACGCTTAAATTCATTTATATTTGCAATCAGATATACTTAAATTGAACTATATACATTTTATTTACTAATATTTAGTAGTGGAGATTCTAATACTATAGAAAAAGACCATCTGAAGATTCATTTGTCTGGGCAATCTACTGTTAACCACTCGGTTACAATTTTAAGCTAAGTTGCAGAAGTCAGTGTTTGAACAGATATTACATGATAATGGACTTGATTACTCATCGTAATTACTTATCCATTTTTGTGCGTAAAAATACAAAATGAAAAACATCCCTTACCTGAAAACCACCTTCTGTCGCCATTTGACGATGGCTGACCCAATACAATAGTCTAGGTAAATTAATTAAATCTGACCTTCCCAAAAGGCACAGCGTTGCTACCGCACAGAAGGCATAACCACCATGAGCCTCTAATCCAGGTTGACCGCCGAAACCACCTTCATACGTCTGCAATAAAAGTATATATATGCACAGCAAAATCTGCTAAGATTATGAAAGTGAACTTGGAAGCAATTTACGTTTCTCTATAAGCTTTTATTAGTTATTTGTGTGACGAACTTCTGAGTAGATCCCATAAAAGACATCTTTTTCCACTTTTTCACTATATATTATTCAATTAAAGTTAATGTAATTGTATTGTGAATGAATCGAAGAATAACACTACTCTGAGCAAGCGTTTAACTTTCCTGAAACATAAAATATTGTTAATATGATTAAATAAGCCAAACGCACAATCTTTAAGTTATTACATTCTAGCTTTAAATCCATTGTTCCTACTTTGGTTTGAGCAGCAATTTACTATGTACAACATCAAAATAAGTGTAATCCAAAGTTTTATGTTGAAACAAACTTGTTCTATATTGCTGAGTTGAGTCGGCGATAAAAAGGAACTGCTGATTCGTCCACTGACTGCTTGGATTTAGAAGAGATCTTATTGGATTGAATTAAAAATCTGGCAAAATAACAATTAATTATTTATGAAGAATAGTTTCCTATTATATATTAGTCCCAGATATATAAACGCTTTTCATGCAGAAAAGAGGTACTGAATCACATATTTGGAATAATTAATCCCAGTAGCACGTAAAAATAGCTCACCTGACAACTAGCCACCCACTCTGCAGTCGATTCAAACAAATCAGGATGTTTTTTAAGCAACCCAGTAAGTTTTGCAACTGCTGTGGCACAGTAGGCACCTCGAACATCAGCTTCACCTCCCAAATGCATTAAAAATGAGCCGTCTGGCTGATGAAGTTTCCGCATCCAGTCAGCCAGTGTATCCCGATTGATAATATCTAGGGCATCTCGACGACATAAAGAAGCCAAACAATTAACTGCACCATATGAAGTTGCAAGATGTGCAAATTGGTAAGGCCCGCCACCAAAACCACCGTCCGGATGCTATAGATAGAAAAAACAAGGAATTTGGTGAACAATAAGTGGTGAGACTAAATTACAAAACACAGAGTTAATTCAGATGCCAGTTATAAAATCGCCAAGGAAATATCAAAACTTTTTTGTAATAACAATTAAAAGTTAGTAGAACACGAACCATTACGAGATGAAATTTCACACATTCCTTTTAGTAGTTTTTCAATCTACTGAAACTAACTTGTTGGGACATTTTTAAAGTATGTGAAATTTATTTGATCTGAGTTATAATTTTATCAATAGTAATAACGAAGATTTGCCAACAGAGTAGTAATATACATAATATAAAGCAAATTTGATCAAACGTATAACCTCCGAATGACTGAATACAATTGGGTCCCCATTCAACATTGGACTCAAAATTCGATAAAAGCATTTCTTAACCTAACAAAATCCAATAAAAATTAAAGCAATAAACCCTTTTATAAAATTTGATAGGGTAGTGAAAAGACAGTTGATTTAGAATGTGTGATGGACTACTTGCATTTGTGAACACTAACTACCACAATTTGTACTAGTGTTCTGGCTTTTTGCTAATTAACTTTTTTTTCTCGACAGCGTAATTCCAAAGAGACTGCTAAAATTCCCTGGCTACTACGGTTTACTAGCACTTCACGGACTAAACAATCATTTGCACATTAAACTATCTACAACTGAGTGCCTCTCCATAACATACATTCCATCCATTATCCCACGTATACTATCTAATTTTACCTCAAATAAACCGAGAGCTAACTTGTGAACCTCAAAACCAGAACAATCTTTTAATTATCTTGGCATCTCTCTAGACATACTCTAAACATAATTTAAGCCGACTTTGACTGCATTCAGGATTATGAAGTAAAACATGCGGAAAAAGTACAGATGTGTGAGCACTACGAAAGTTAACACAATTATGATCATTTAGAGCGAAAAACGCCTAGATAGGAATTCTCACCATATCAAAACTATGATTACACAAAGGTAGATTATACTCGCAAACCTAGGACAGTATCGCACAAACCCTTTCACACAATACGTATTGCGTCATTCTCCAAAATCATAGTTTTATATTAACTCAATTTGAGATTGTTTGGATTATCGAGTTGTTGCTATTTGGACTGAAACTCGATCAGTCTTGGTTTATTATTTATTTTAACACATAGATACTGGTACAAGGAGGCACCAAATACATATGCGCCACACAAATCTCATTCGATATGTGTGAGGGCTGTGATACTGCCCGGGTGCCCAGACCGAAGCAGGTGGTTTTCTTAGGGGGCCACTCCCCGAGCCTTCGACCTGAAGGTTTGGTCCACAATGCAGTAGGGCATCATAAGGAGATGCAGTCCCATGGAAGCCGGTGACCAACAATTGGTTCGTACGCCATTTGTTCCCGCAGGATACTGGAGCCTATGTGCACCATTGATTTGGGATCCGGTTAAAGCGCCAGACATTCGCTTTTCGTCCTCTCATTTTCGTAAACAACACCCCCGCCACGAGAAGGCAGTGAGTAGGACTTCCCTGGCAGAGGCTATATACGCGTGGCCATGTGAGAGCATTTCGAGAGGGAGAGCGGATTCTCCCCACTCTTCGCCGTACCAGGGCATTTGGGGGCGATCAGTCTTGGTTGGCATATGCGTATTCTTCCCGGATTGCCTCCATATAGCCATTGAAACAAGTTAGTATGGAGTAAATGGAATATGGCTAGCAGTAGACCCCAGGACGCGTGCTTTATCCCGCTTGGGACTTGTCAGCTAGATGTTAACGAATCAGAGTTGATGCCCACTCAAGGACACTAACCCCGTACCATTCGCTTTGAACGCCGCTGCGTTGTCCACTCAGCTAATGAATCCAGATAACTCTGTACATGCTCTTAACTCGAACACTATTGGTCGAGTCAGAGCTTATGTGGAGCTTTCATAGGAGTTGGTTACTCCAAATGGTATTCGTCGACTGTGTCCACTTTCCTGTTTTTTTAACCTTTTCATAGACATGCTTTTAGAGATAACGCTTTCATCGTCTCATTTCAGGGAGTTGTTCTTTTACCATGAGGTTTACTTGTTGACTTAGAATACACAGGCAACACAGTTCTGTTTGGTCGAGACGCTGACAAAATACAGTCTTTTGACCACCCTAAGCAAAAATACAAGCATGTTAGAGATGCGATTCTCTCCCTCTAAATGCAAAATATAGCTTCAGGACCGACCGGCAAAATCTCCTGAATTAACAACAGGGAATGAAGTAGTAGAGTGTACAGACCACTTCATTTATCTTGGGAGTCCCATTAGTGTTGATGGGCTGGTGTCTGGTGAGATATCAGAAACCTCGGTTTACCTTTAAGAAATTAAATCGATTGTACCATGGGCGAGCTGTCCATCTGTCAACTGTGAGGAAGCTCAGAAAGAGCCGAGGACATTCCACTCAATTATCTTTTGGAAGAACATTCCAGAACCGCTACGTATAGCTTCCCTATTGGATAAATTCTAAAAACCACTGTATGCGGATTGGATGACTATAATGACTTCGCTTCCACTAAAAATTAAAAATGCCTGAGAGTTTCGTATCATATTTGATACCGTTTGGAACAGCATTCCTTCTTACTAGTCTTCTGTTTTTTTTTCATTTTCGAATTGAATGGTTTTAGCGTCCGAGTGCTTAAGTTGTACGCGGTATACCAAGAATCTAAGCCCTAGATATGACAACTGGCAACAGGGATGAGATTTGAACGGACCACCTGTAAGACCCTTTTGATTTAGGTTCATCTACTGGGTTAGAGTTTCTAGAATACGAATCTGGAACTGTTTGTAACGCTTTTCTTGACGCTCTAGCAAAGCTTCAACTTGGTCAAAGGTAAATGACATCTTGATAAGTTGACCCCGTCGCCAATTGTTATATCTAGAGCTTAGATTCTTGATATACGGCGTACAACTTGAGCACTCGAACGCTAGAACCCTCTAATGTACAATGTACAAGCAGTGACTTATCCAGCCCACAGAAAGACGGTGTCTTGTTAAATACTAACGAAATTGTTGCGGTACCCGCCCGCGAAGAAACAGAAAATAAATTGAGTAGCATAATAAATACAATTGCACTGAATAGAACTCATCGTTCTGCGACAAAATTTTCTAATGAATCTACTTGTCAGGATTTCCTAGTTTTATCAGATATGGGTTATATTAATGACTCACATGCTTTTGATTAAATCTCCAGCAAAAATGAGAAAAATATTTCGGATGAACCAAATGATGATCAAAAACCTAATGCAATTTTGATAGATACTGATTTTCCTAATGATCCATTATCTACTAATGAGATTTCCAATAAATTTTATGGGAATTTTTCAGAAGAACCAAACCCTGATGATCTCCTATCAAGTGTCGTTGATCCTCACCATCTAGTCACTTCTAGTGGATTCTCTATTCAATGCAAGAAATATGTTTTAAATAGAGTCATATTAAATGTAACTTGGGGATATGCGGATCCAACATTCTTTCGTGGGGGAGGATAAAGTCAGGAAATTTGAAATCTGGATCTAAACTCCAAATCTTCAAAAAAGGTGTTATATTCCGACGAGAATAGTGGATGATAACTATTGAGATTCATTTATGGACTAATACTATACATATATTTCCACTGTATAAGTGTTAAGTAAATAAACTATGCATATTCAGGTCCCTCTTATCATAAGCTTTATTTTGATTTATAGACTATTATTATACGATTCACCGTTCTTGAGTTATGCTCGGTTTATTAATTACAGTCTCCCACATTCACATTCACTTTTTGGCTACATCTTGTACAAATGTTATTTTCTATTTTATGGTGAGATGTGGTCTGGTTTGTATTTAAACCCAGTATGTTTGAAATACATGATTCATATCATGGAGGCTGAGATTGGTGTTCTGGGCTCAACAGGCAGGGCTAGGCAGGAAGAAGGAACGATGAAGACTCTATACTGCTCGTACGGGTTTATGCGTCATTGGTCCGGTCGATAAGTCACTGTTCTCCAATTGGCGGTATCATTACGTTGCATATTAATAGGGCACAAGGCCATAGGGTTGCGTATAATGATAATGACGACCTAATTCAGCAAATAAACGCATTGTCATGTACTAGACTAAGTCCGTTGCGTGAAGAAAACTAGCTAGCCGAACTGAATTTGGTAAGGTGTAATATGAAACTTTTTACTTGAAAGTTAGATACTTCAACTAGTTGACCAGAAAACTTTGAATCAATTTATATGTGGTTATTATGCTGTCGCTGCTGATATTCATCGGTTTCAGCAAGACCAACGAGAAGTCAATTTGACGTAGGAAAAAGTTAGAATTAAAACAATCAAATATCAGAAGCCTGTTTCTTGATCGTTTTACAAATAACCACATAGGAACTGCACAGTAATTTGGACTGGAAGATTATCATTTCCTTCTCAATTAATAGATGATTTGTAAATTTAGATGTGATTAAGTGCAACAAGGAAACAAAAAATGTAAGACTTGATTAAACCATTGCTGTAATTACTGAACCAAGAAAAGCAGCTTCGACTGTGCAACACTTTATACAAGACAACTGGATAAAATGTAGCGATACCTCAAAAACTGAAAACAGGTTACATACCTGAGAGGATGCTAAAAACGATATCAATTTTACCGAGGTCTCTTCAGGGATTACAAAGTTCAGCAGTCTTAAAGCATGTACAATCCAATACGCCAACCACGGTTGGCTTGCATCTAAATGTTCAAAACTCATAGGCAGATTGAAAAGTCGCTTGTTGAGATAATTTATGTGGTTTATTTTGAACAACCGAAGTGCATCATCTTTCCACTGACAAAGTTTCTCGTAGTACGCTTTACTAACAAGGCTTTCTGTCTCCATTTGATCTATAATAGTTCTAGTTTCAGGTCCGTTAGTTCTGTCGGCCCGTCGTAGATGAAATAATGTAAGACGCTCCATAGTGATGCAGTTTGTAGGCGTATGGAGATTAAATTTCGTTTTTAAAGTTGCTTTGAAAGGTTGGAGAATAAAATAGTTACATCACCCAACAAATCTACGGTAAAAGTTCTTTATCAAGTGACATTTAAAACGGACGACCACTACGAGACAGTTAAAATATTAAAAAATAAAAGTGGATCATAGCAAATATTTTGGCTAGTTAATCTATTCCAAGCCAGGAAGTTCAGTAACCAGTAGGTATATGTTTAGCCTGTAAAGAAAAGTGTGAGAAATTGATTCGGTTGGTCTAGTTCCTATAGACCAACTAAACAACAATATGGAATGAAAGGAAAAAATCGCTAATTAGTTCGCAGTTTCTGATAGTTTGAAAACAATCGACAATAGTTAATATTTTAAAAATGAGAACCCAAAGGAACTAATATTAGGAAACTGTTAATCAGATGTCCAAACTTTGTAGACGCGTACTATAAAGTAATCGATTCAATGGTAAAACACGAAAAATTATTAATCTATACTAGAAATAAAAATTTCATGTGAATAAACAAGATATTCTTATAATAACAAAAGCATTAGAACGATTGTCGAAAAAGCAAGTGGGACAAATTCTGTTGTTTTATAAAGTAACGTGCTGGATATTTCAGAAATTTAGATAAGTTCTAAAGTTCTGAGACTGATGTATCTACGTCAACTAAACAGGCATTTTTATGACAACAAAAAGCTAGTATTTATACCCTACAAATCCAATGCGATAATATCACGTGCTGGTGTTACTTAATCGCATATTAACACATCACCAAACACACGAACTAATGCAGTCCACAACTTATGTCTATGGAAGGAACATTAAGCCTGTAGAATTTAATGAAATATCTGCTGATAAAAGAATTAGGTGGCTGCCTTATTTAAACTCCAGTTCTTTAAAGTTCGTTACAGTTACTTTGTACTTAAATTATAAGCGTTTAGCATTAGCTAATATATCCATTAAAGCATCTTAAATTATGTATCGGTGCAACAGATTCTATGAGAAATTATTTACATAATTTTCTTGAACAGTGTAAACCCTACAGACCTGAACACTGAGTTTATGATGTGTACATGTTTAGGCAGCTCGCTGATGACGTTAGTTTACATGGAGCTTTACATTCGGAATTCGCCTTTACATTTGATTTGTACATGATGTAGATTAAGAAATTAGGTCATAGCGGTTATGCTAGAGCTAAGCAAGCAGCTTAGTGTAATGCATATAAAATATTCTCTGGTGGGTTTCAAATTAGCGATTCCGCGACCACTATAAACACATCAGTCAAATGCGACTACAAGAAAACGGATAATTACGTGCACGAATATTAAATTCATTTCATTTAAGCTGGATAATGTAGTACTAGTACACGGTAAACCTGGGCTAATCACTGATATAGGGGGAAGAGAATTAACTAAGACTACAGCTTTGACTGATATATTAGATTGTTTGAAGGAACCATTCTCGTTCAGTGACATAGGTATATTTATATACTCTGTAATGTGCACATATGGGTTTGTGTTAATGATGTGCACTGTGATCCTTTGAAATGTGTTGAGAATATAGTAATAGTTCCGTTGCTTCATACGTTTATGTGAATAAAGTTTTATACTCGTCTTACTACTTTGAAACAATTTCTAACTTTTGTATACAATTTAGCGAACCGCCAAACAGTTTTCAGTCATCAGTGCACCAAGTAAGAAGCAGGTAATAATTGCAGCAAGCAAGAGATTTGTCGGAGAAAAACTTTGTGTCTATCCTGCTTTGTGGATATGCACCTTAAGAACAGTGCTCAGCCACATTTTATTTATTTGAACACATAAATATTGGTACAAGAATTCGCCAAATATATATGCGCCACACAAAACAATGAGAATTTAAGGGGAAGGAGAAAAAAAGAGATTGATGTAAGGTGGTGTAATAATAATGATGGTAAAAATGGCGGAACAGACAGGTACAGTCAGAAGAAATCTTTCAGTTAAGGGAGAAACAACCACTTTTTATGAAGAAAGTAAAAGAAGGTTACAGCAGGATCGCCACTGGCTTCTATTCTCAGCCATATCTGATAACGTCTCTAGCCATTGTGTCACACCATCTCTTGGACCCCAGCCAGGGAGTCGTGGAGGACCAAAAGAAGCCAGTCCTTTGCAGCTTTCTTTCATTCCACGACACCATATCATATACTGACCACCTCTCCGCTTGTTCCGACCAGTCCCGGAGTCGGCAAATAATGCACGACGTGGAATTCTCTGGGACGACATTCGTAGAACATGTCCAAGCCACTGAAGTCGGTGTTTCAAGATGGTGACAACCGAAAACACGATGCCGAACCTCTGCATTACTAGCATGGTGTTGCCACTAGATGTCAGCAATTCTTCGGAGACAACGACGATCGAACACAGAGAGTCGTCTAACGTCCTTAACTCGGAGACGCCAGGTTTCACAAGCATAGAGCAGAACTGCTCTCACCAAAGCGTTGTAGATCCGGCCTTTTACAGCCAGACTAACATCACGAAGGAGCCAAAGATGGCCCAGATTGGCATAAGCCGCTCTGGCTTTCACTATACGTGCATTGATCTCATCACTCACACCCCCACCAGCACTCATACAGCTACCCAGATACACGAACATTCTCGACTACTTCTATCTGCTCACCATCCAGGGTGAGTACAGGATTAGAATCCTGCCAGTCTTGTAGAAGTACTTTGCACTTCGAAGGTGCAAAGCACATACCATACCTACGGACACTGATTGCCAACTGATTAAGTGCGGATTGCATGCCTTGGGCATTATCGCACAGTAAGACAATATCATCCGCATACTCAAGGTCGAGAAGTCTTTCTCCAGGCAGCAGATCCACACCGCCATTACTTACATCCATCAGAGCTGTTTCCAGAATGTCATCGATGGCAAAGTTGAAGAGCAATGGTGAGATTGGGAAACCCTGTCTAACCCCACTGCTCGAATGGAACAATGGAGAGAGGTGGTTGTGTGCCCTCACTCTGCCTGAGGTGTTTGTATATAGGGCTTTTAGGATGTTAATAAACTTCTCAGGCACACCCTTCTTCAATAGACAATCCCAGAGAACAGTCCTATCCAACGAATCAAAGGCAGCCCTGATGTCAAGAAACACTACGATTGTTGGCCTTTGATAAGTATGGCGGTGTTCTAACATTTGGCGAAGGGTGAAGATATGATCAATACATCCTCGACCAGAACGAAACCCAACCTCAGTCAGTCAGCTACAACGTAGGACCAGGCACATATGTGCATCGGTCCAGGTCGCCATACCGCATCAGCACAACAGGATGAACACCGGATTCATAGCAGTGGTTAAGTCAAAGGTGGTAATATAGAAAGATTGCATATAGATATATGGTACAAGAAGAAAAAAATGGTTCGTAGAAAGAAAGATATGAAGCGATTTTAATCTCTTAGTTTAAGGGAAGACAGGGAGTGTATACACCGACGCCATTGTGATCGATTCTGAGCCATGTCACCAAGAGTCTCCAACCATTGGTTACGATAGTCACGCGGACCCCAACCAAGTAGTCTGCATCTACCAACATGGCTCAGACTAGAAGTTAGTGACTTCAAGCACTGATGCCACGTTTTGGTTTGGCCGCCCCTAACTTTCTTCCAACCATCTCCAATACCGGATAGCATTGCACGTCGTGGTAATCGGTGTTCAGGCATACGTAACACGTGGCCCAACCATCTCAGTCGATGAAGATTCATAACCTCATCAACTGATTTACCATCATTCCCTAATACCCTGCGTCTAACCTCACTATTACTTACCCGGTGATCCCAGCAGACGCCAGCAATATTTCTAAGGCATCTGTGGTCAAATACTAGTAGCTTACGAGTGTCTTCTACTCTTAATGGCCATGTTTCGCTGCCGTAAAGTAAAACAGAACGGACTGCCGCGCAGTATACTCGTCCTTTTATTGATAGACGGATATCTCGCCTTCGCCAAAGGTGACGTAAGTTGGCAAAAGCCAAACGAGCTTTTCGAATCCGTGCTGAGATTTCGTCAGACACCAACCCATTAGGGCTGATCAGACTTCCAAGATAAGCGTTCGACTACTTCACTCCCTATCCTTAGTTCAGGTGTTGACGCAGACCAGTCCTGAAGCAACAACTTGCATTTAGAGGGAGAGAAGCGCATTCCAAACATTCTGGCATTGTTGCTTAGTGCTACCAGAAGACTCTGCATTTTGTCAGCGTCTTCACCAAACAGGACTATGTCATCTGCGTATTCTAAGTCGATAAGTGGACCTCCTGGATGGAGATCAATACCCGAGAATTCAGTCGACGAGAATGTTATTTCCATCAATAGGTCTATGATGAAGTTAAACAAAAATGGAGAAAGTGGACAGCCTTGACGGACACCACTTGAGGTTGCAAAAGTAGATGACAGTTCGCCATAAGCTCTGACTCGACTAGTAGTGTTCGAGTAAAGAGCCTTCACAAGGTTTATGTACTTCTGAGGTACGCCTTTCAATGACAGACACTGCCACAGAATCTCGCGGTCTACAGAGTCAAATGCTGCTTTTAAGTCAAGAAAGACCACCATTGTCGGACGCCGATAAGTATGCCTGTGTTCTAGAACCTGACGAATGGTGAATATGTGGTCGATGCAGCCACGACCAGGTCTAAAGCCAGCTTGGTTCTCTCGTGTTTGCAGTTCACGAGTCTTAGTTAGGCGTCTGATAATTATCGAGGCCAGTATTTTAGATAATATATTAGTTAAACTAATCCCTCTGTGGTTGTCACAGGATGATTTTGACCCTTTCTTATATATTGGGACGATAAGTGATTGTGACCAGTCAGATGGGATAACGTCTAACTCCCAGATCTTAGCTAAAATATTAGTCAACCTAATCGCTAAAATTGGACCACCATCCTTAAAGACCTCTGGAGCCAGTCCATCTGGACCAGCTGCCCTTCCTCGTTTCAGATTAACTATAGCCTTTTGAACTTCAGCAAGAGTTGGGGGACCTACTTCAATGTTCCATTCACCTGTCT